CTCGTTCCAGCCCCCAGTGCCCTCCGAGGAAGCACAGTGGGTGCGTGGAGCCTGCAGCTGGACCCAGAACCAAAGAGCCTGGCATGGGAGCCGCTCTGTGGGACCCCTTGTTGGTGGGCATGGGACAGGCCAGGCTCTTACCCTGGAGATGGAGGGATGGCGAATGAGCCCCAGCAGAAGCAGGAGGCTGCTTAAACCCGTGTGTGCTGTGCAAGTTGATGCAATTCTTGGGGCCAGGCAGGGTCAGCTGGCAGCCAGCAGCTCCCTGGGCTGGCTTTGCCCCCTTTACTTTGTGCTCAGTTCCTACAGCGCCCGCCCTGTCCCTGCACAACAGGTGAAGGACCGTCAGCTGCTGGAGCTCCGTCTTGCAGACACAGACCCTTCCAGCCTTGTGCAGGATCCTGCCACCATCCTTGCTCACTCCCTTCCCTCTTCTCACCCCTTTCAGATGGCTCTCTACTTCTGCACCGGCATCCTGGAGGATGAGACCCTCTTTCGACACTACGCCCTGAACGTGCCCTTCTACACACACTTCACCTCACCCATCCGCCGCTACGCGGACATCATTGTGCACCGCCTCCTCTCCGCCTCGCTCGGTGAGTGCTGCCCGGCCGCTTGCAGGTGCTGCAGTGGGAGGGGGCAGCTGTGCCCAGCACAGGCAGGATTCCTGGGGTCCTGCCTTGCCTGCCCATGGGTGCTGGATGCTTGGAGTCTGTGTCCCACAAGGCAACTCTCTGGCACGTGGGTGTCCTCAAACAGCAGGGACATCTCAGTCCAGGGTGCCCATGGCATGGTTCTGGAGCAGAAAGGAGCACAGGTGTGTCATTGTTGCTTGTACCCTTCCCAGGTGCCAGATCCCCCATCAGGATGAAGAAAGAGGCGATCCAGAGACAGGCAGATCACTGCAATGACAGGAAGATGGCTTCCAAGAGGGTGCAGGAGCTCAGCGCTGACCTCTTCTTTGCCGTCTTCGTCAGAGTAAGAGCCAAGACTATCTTCCCCCGAGGGATCACTGGATACCTCCGTGAAGGCTCAGCCTAGATGCCAGTGGGCAGCGGGCTCTGTGGCTGCCCAGCTGGCCTTGAGAAAGGCAGACAGTGAGGGGACACACTGAGCAACCGCCAACAGGAGAGCTCCATGACCTGGAGACACTGGTTCCCCTTGGGGACAGCTGGATGAGGGATGCTGGTGTAGTGACAGCCCTTTCTCTTGGCAGGAGTGTGGTCCTCTGGAGTCAGAGGCCATGGTGATGGGTGTCCTGAACGAGGCCTTCGATGTCCTGGTGCTGAAGTTTGGAGTCCAGAAGCGCATCTACTGTAATGTAAGTACTGCACCAGCATGAGAGAGTGCCAATGCTGCCTCACCAGAGAGGGATATGGGGCTGTTTAACCTGGAGAAGAGAAGACTTAGGGGAAACTTTATCTCTGCAATTACCTGAAACGAGGTTGTAGCGAGGCGGGGGTTGGTCTGTTCTCCCTAGTGGTGAGTGACAGGACAAGGGGAAGTGGCCTGAAGTTGCACCAGGGGAGGTTCAGGTTGGATATTAGGAAGAACTTCTTTACTGAAAGGGCTGTCAGGCATTGGAACAGGCTGCCCAGAGAGGTGGTTGAGTCACTGTCCCTGGAGATGTTTAAGAGACAGGTGGATGTTGTGCTGAGGGAATGGTTTAGTTGTGTTGATAGGGCTAGGGCAAAGGTTGGCCTCAATGATCTCGAAAGTCTCTTCCAACTGAAACTGTTCTATGATTCTATGACTGCGGCAGCCTGACGTCATTGGTGATATTTCCTGTCCTGGTGCCCGTCTGTGTCAGCCCTGCAGCCAGCAGAGCTGTGCCCAAGCCAGGCTAGCCAGAGGGGAGGGAACCTTCATGGGGTTTCCCCTCCATCCTTTGGCCCTGGACAGACACGAGAGGCTGGGGAGGAACTGGTGCAGCCCAGTCTGAGGACCAGCTTCTCCCCTCTACGTGCTGGGGGTGATCTAATCTCAGTAAAAGAGAATAAAGACAGATTCAGGGGGACAGAGATCAACACAGAGCTGAAGCAAGGAAAAAGAGCAAGGTTGGTTTTCATTTCATTTAATCAGATGGTATATTTGGGGCTGTGACAGCAGCCCTGTAGGCCAGCACCTGCGGTTAGTGACAGCATCTTCTCTTAATAACCTGGTTATATGGCTGGCAATGACATCTTTAAACAGGACATATAGCGTGATATATGGTCTGTTTGTGTATCACAGCAGCCCCTGATTTACGCGCTAGGCTCAGGCTCATGGGCTGCTGCATCCCGGTTGTTGAAGAGCTGCAGAGGCAGCGTGCTGGGCAAAAACAGTGTCATCCCCATCTGCAGGCAAAGTGGAGGGGGAGAGCTGAGTGGGGGGATATTGTCAGGGCCACAGGCTGTTCCCAACGCTCTCGCTGCCTGCAGGCGCTGCCTTTACGGGGCTTCCATTTTCGGAAGGTGGGGAGGAAGCCAGAGCTGACGCTCATGTGGGAGCCGGAGAACCTGGAGCAGGAATCTGTGCCACAGGTAAGACCCTTCAGCACAGGATGGGCTCACAACACCATGGGGCTGGCATGGAGGCTGGGTGGAATGTGTGGGTCCTGTGGTCTCTACAGGGACAGGTCTGGGAAGCAGGACTGCCTGGCAGGCTGTCTACTCCTGCTGTCCCTCTGTGTCCCCTCCTCAGTGAGCTCAGCCTCAACCTTTGCTATTGAGCCCCACTCCATCCCAACGCTGCCCCCATATCTGACCTCTCCGTGGCCTTTGGACTCTGCCCTGCCTGCCTGGTGCCCTGCCTCTCAATTCAGTTTCCTCCAGGAATTGAATTAACATGCTGTTTACTTCCTTCTCCCAGATCATCAGTTAAGATGTTCCTTCTCCCAGATCATCAATTAAGATGTTAAGTAAGATCAGGCCTAAGGCAGTGCCTGTCTAGACCCTTCCCCCATCCTGGCATTCCTTGCTCCCTCACTAGCAGGGCTCTTCTTTTGGGTCTCCATCCCTGTGACAGAGTTGAGACCCAACTATGACGAATTTTTTAAGTAAGAGTTCCTGAGATGCAGTGTCAAATGGTTTAACAGCATCTAGAAATCTCTCTCTTGTGTCCCTGTCGTCTATTAACTTGGTAACTCAATCAAAGAGAGCAATCGCCTTTGTCTGGCTTGATTAAGTGGTGCTTCTTTGCCAACTCCTGTCTGGCGTGGCTGTAAAACCGCAGCTGTGTTGACTGCTGTGACCCCTGCCTGCTGCCTGGGCGGGGATGGGAGGACCGAATCCCCACCTCTCCCTGCACTGCTCCGGGGGGCTTTTACACTTAAACCCCATTTCCAACCGAGCCCAGCACAAACCATCCTTGTCTGCCTAGGGTTGGATGAAAAAGATCTCCCAACACAGGGCCAGGCTGACCCTCCCAGCTGGTGTGATGCAGGTCCTGGGGAGTCTTTTACATCCTAGGGGAGACGTTACAGTTGAAGCTGGCTGCTGCAGGCGTTTCTGCAGGCCGCCCTCCCTTTAAAGCTGAGCTTTCCTTTCTCAGCTGGCTCAGAGAAGGCCCCTGGAAGCAGTTCGAAGTGGCCTCGGTTCCCCCTTTCCTACAGCAGCGGGTATCACTTACACCCTAGCAGGGACCCGCGTGAAAAATGATGCCCCAGCATGAGCAGGGCCCGTTTTGGTTAAGCAAACACTCAGCGGTAGAGAAAACTCCTCCACGAACCCTCCACACCTCCTAAGAAAACACCAGAGTGCTCCCCTGGGAGCAAGCTTTAAGCTGTCCTCTGAGCCAGCAGATCCCCGAGTTGATAAATCTCCAGCCACCGGATGAGCTGGAGTCCTGGGAGCCGTGATGAATCGTGGGAGATGTCACCTGGACACCCCGTAACACCGAGCACCGCCAGCTCCTCCCCTGGCCCTGGCGCTTGGCCTGTGCTTCCCTGTTTGTCTCAGCCTGGCCAAGCAGCAGGGATATCGGGGAAGGCTGTTTGTGGGGAGCTGCGCAGGGGTCTGGGGTGGCTGCCCCGCCACAGAGGGCAGGTGTTGCCCCAATCTCTCCCCGAGCTCCAGGAGATGACCAGGACCTCAGTGGGCATTACTCAGGGCTTGAGTATGGAGCAGATCTAAGACTCGGGGGGTTTGATGTGAAATCGTACTGTCCCCCGAAGAGATGAGTCAGGATTGCAAGGCAGAGCCCTAATAATCCCTGTTGGACTCCCCCAGACATGGAGCAGCCACCACCCGCTGTGCTCCTGCCAGCTGGGGCAGGCAGGGCTGGTGCTAGGTAGCCAGCATCTATCTGGCCAACTCTCTGCAAAAGCTTTTCCCTGCTGTTTGCTCCTCGCTGGCCGCTTTGATATGGTTAAGTCTCAATGAGATTTTCTTGCTCTGATTAATCTGGAGCGGCCGGTGCTGGATGAGCTGGGAGGGGTTTGACAAGGTTACACTGGTGGCTCTGTGCCCAGCCCTCCTGCCGGCCAACCCCAAGGAGATGGCCCCATCGAGCCCTGTCGCAGCGCAGGGTTTGAGGACAGGCTCCAGCGAGCAAAGTCCCCAAATGCCTGGCCGTGACCTCAGGAGAGCCCCTGCCCAGTGTCCCAGCCAGCCCGTTAACTCTGCCCCATGGATAGACCTGATCGATCCATTACGCTTCTAATCCACACAATTGCGCTGCGAGATGGATTCAGAGGATCGGGGAGGTGGCAGCAAGCAATGACGTGTTCCTGGACAGACGGATTGATTTTTCTGGGGTCTTTATTCCTTTGTGTTTCTCTCATCCATCATGCTCCCTGCCTGGGTTTCGTGTCACTGTGGGGCCGCAGGGCGGGGCTGGGTCATTCCCTCCTGATGCTGAGAAAACGGTCGGTGTTGTGTGGAAAACCCTTCTTGCTGCAGCTCACCTTTGGCTCTTGGCCAAGGTGCTTCCTTAAGGGCTGATGTGCATTCTCTGGCTGGAGAAGGGAGACATGGGTGGGTGTTAGAGGAAGTTGGGACCCAAAGCCCAAGGCACAATCACCCCGTGCTGCTTCCTGGAGTGTGTGGAGAATAAGACTGGGGCCTGATCAGGCTGGAGTAAGTGATGATGTTTCTGGAGGCCCTGGCTGGTTTTCCAGCTCAGTGGTGTTGGCCTTGGAGATACTGTGTCCAGGAGCACCCCAGACCCCGGCAGAGCTCTCTGAAGCTGTCCTGCTCCAATTCCCTGGCTCCGGAGGGGTGTTGCAACAGAGGCAGCAAAACCTAGCACAGCTGTAAGCAAACCCTGGTGTGATACCAAGCCACTGAAAACTTCTTTTCTCTTCCTTGCTGAAGGTGATCACCATTTTCACGCTGGTGGAGGTCGTGCTGACATCGGACGGCGTTCCACTCAAGTACAGCGCCCTGCTCAAGAGACCAGGCTCAGAGAAGTGAGCGTCTGCTCCCCGCTGCTGACATTCGCCCACCTCCCAGGCCCTGCACTGGCACCAGCTGAGGACAGAGGGGACACACGAGGAGTTTGGGGATTTGGGTTTTAAAACTGATGCTGTTTTATTTCGGTTTGGATTTTAACTCCAGCTGGGAGTGAGGCTCAGGGCTTGAGTCTGACCCAAGCAGAGCATTTCTGCTCTCAGATATTTTTAGCTTGATGCTTTCTTTTTTTTTTTCTTTTCTTAAGGCAGCGACGTCCATCCCCAGCTGCCTTGGGTGCCCATCATGAGGGCCAAGTGGGGATGCGTGTCCCCAGGAGTGGAGAGGGGCTGGCCTCATTGCCCCAGGTGGGGTGTGGTGGGATGCAGTGGGATGCAGCTGTGGGGCTGTGCAGAAGGGTTTCTTGCAGGGTTGTGTGTGCAATAATAAAAGCCGGATCAGCAGTTGCGTGGGGAGCTCACGCAGGTTTTATTTCATCTCCTCTGTGTTTCCCCATCCAGGAATCCCAGCAATAACTCATCTCCCAGGCAGCCCCGTGCTCTCCCCTGCCTGCCGCTTCCTGGGTGTTGTGAAATCCACGTGGCCTCAGCACCTGCCCCAGCCCCAGGACGTGTTTGGCCAGAGGGCGTGGGGGTTTGGGTGGACGT